GGCAGGCGAGATTTTCTTCGCTCCACCCCCTCCCCTATCCTTCCTCTTGCCTATCATTTACGCCCTTGGTAAAACTTTCTTTCTCTCCCCAGTCTTCCACTGCATGAAATATTCAAGATGGCGGCTAAACTTTTTACGATGTGAGCGCTCGCTCGAAAAAATCTCGCCTGCTCTGCAGGCTAGGCAAACCGAAACTTACTCTGGTGAAATATTTGATTGAATAAAATTGTAATGGTGAAGTGTAAAATACTTAAAGGGCATTACTTAACAGAGGTTTGCGCACGGTTAGCCCGGGTGTTACAAACTTAAGTACCAGCGGAATAGTTTCACACTGTGAGTGAAACTTTCATTTTCGCGCTAACACTTGCCAAGAGTATTAGTGACCTGGTGAACTGGAACGGATGGGGCATGCGTACTGGTAACTTTATGCAGTTTGGGCCAACTGCACTAGTGAAATACTTGATTGGAGAAACTCGTAATGGTGTAAAGTAAGGCACTAAAACGGGATAATTTAACAAAGGTTTGCTTATGATTAGCCTGTGTGTTAATCGATCTCCCCACATGTTACAAAAAGTTTTTAACAGAGGCTCAAATCCATATTGAAATTAAGGAACTTAACGATACAATTTCCGTCACGTGGCCGGTTACAGAGCCCCTATTAAACTTCAGTTCAACAATACCAATTCCTGCTTCGATATCGTTGAAATGATCAGCTCTTAATATTCAAGAGGAATTGCAGTTATCTGGTGTCAAGGAGATTTTAGGTGTGCAGGCAGGTCATATGAAGACATCGCACAAGCAAACTCATGTTGGCCGGTACCAGTATAGTTCACATCCATGATACAGCCCCAAGAAATTGCTCGAAACGTTATTTTTTGCAACGTTAGATTTGTTAAGTATAATTCCAATGTCGCTCAAATGAACTTATCAATATGTGGTTTAAAAGAAACAGTTCCAATTTAGTTTCTGTGAGGACGTATCACAAACTGAAGAGGCATTAAATGCTTTCTTTTTCTGTCAAAATCTCTCCTACTCATCAAAGATTTGAAAAGACTACCCAATTCATTTAATTGAGATTACAATCTTGCGGAAAATAAACTCTTTTGCCAAAAGGGGATAGCTTCGTTCATTCGTTGGCGTTGGGATACAAGACACGAGAATTGACCGCGGTCAATAATTTACTTATTCACTAGCAAGTTTGCTTTTTCTGAGTCATTCATGGGTTCTGATTGGTCAACACCGCACAGCAACATAGCTGGTATCTCGGAGCAAAATTTGTCAGTTAATTATTCATGCAAATGTCCTTTGTGGTGGAGCCATCAACTCGTCTTTGTTTAATCGCGTAAAAAAATCTAAAATATATTTCTGACATGATTGTTTAAACCACACAAAGTGTTTAGTCTTTTGTAGCCGGCGAAAAGAATATATTGCCCCTTCCTCGTTTCGTTTACAAAGCAACAGGGCCAAGGATGAGAGGACTCTTTCAGTGCTTCCTGGTTGCGCTGTGTTCCTCGACTTTTGCACTGACTATTCATGGAGATGACTCTGATTTTATAGACGAAAAAGGAAAAGCTTTGAGACACTTAAAAGGTACGATAAATAATGTTCTTTTAAGCCATCCCACCATGTGATTTGACTGGTAAAAGGGAACCTGGGCTTACTTCTTTCAGGGCCATAAAAAAATACAAGCTTGCACGCACGCAGTCATTTCACCTGTGGGTCAATGGGGCAATTCAAACGTACCCGGCGTGAACTGTAGATACGACGGCTGGAGGCGTTGTTTCTCATTGTACCTTGAAATATACCTTGGTGTTTTCTGAGAAAAGGGCGAAGATGAATGAACAAGATGGACTGAGCAATCTTTATTGTAGTCTCAAAGCACACATCATCCCATGTCATGAGCTCATGGTGTTCTTGACAGAAATGTCGGTGGCAAGCCCTTATCGAGAACTTCACGTGCATCGTATTTGTTTTTGATTTACTCTTTTTGCCCTGCAGTCATCTTGTCATGTAATTTCAAATTTTATGACAGGAACCCGATTCAAACGTATTTTGGCGAGAAGAATTATGGTAGATGGATAGATAACTTTATTTCAACTCGGGTTGATGTGGCTGATTAGGCCTCTAGCAAGATTATGCTAATTTACCGAGAAAAACAACTTTAAACGAAAGAAAATTGGAATTAAAAAATTACAAGATATAAATATATAATAGCTAAGACTAGTTTACATATGTAAATTTA